GAATGGGAGCTGGATGTGGGGCGCTCCCCTCAGACGATATTGAATAACTCCCAAAGGAGATTTTATCAACCTGCAAAAATTGTTTCTCCTCAGGGAAAAGTGACCAGGAAAAGGGAAAAGCTACAAAGTAAAAAATAACAGTCACATAATCACAAACAACTAAATTTTGAGCATACAGTAGAAAACCTTCAAAAGCTTCCAACCAGGCGTCGAAGCTCAGAGTACTGACCCAGATAGTTTATAAATGCCGATGGTAGTATGACCCTCGTCAGTTCCGTCGCCTTTGTCAGCTTGTTTTCGTGTTGTACTACAAATGACGAATTGTCGGCCGAGTGAAGTATCATCGATGGAGTGATAGTGAACTGAAACTGAATACATCCTATTTCCTTAATCATTTAGAATATTTGAAAATGAAATCGATCAACATGACCGGAGTATGAATGGAATAGCACTCTACCCTAGAAATAACTGCAACAGCACATCGTACGTGTCCAGAGTAAAGTCCAAATGAATTGTCCATTTCCAGTACGACAGTAAGATCACCGCCCTAAAAACAGGATAAAATAATATTTACTATAACAATTCATCCTAATAGCAACAGCTGAAATATTACTTTTTATGTTCAAGAGATACCCGAAGGATGCACCATGCACATCCAGTAATAGTGAAAACTGGGTAGACTCGTATCATCCTAATAGCAACAGCTGAAATATTACTTTTTATGTTCAAGAGATACCCCTATCTGACTTTGCTTGGAAGAGGTGGAAATCGGAAGGATGCGCCATGCACATCCAGTAATAGTAAAAACCTGGTTAGACTCGTATATCAGGAAGAAGGATTAAATGTAAAGGAAAGTGCGATATACCTAGTATTGGTAGAACTGCAGAGAATTCGTATGCACTGCCGCCGGGATCGCCTAGGTGATCAAAAAAGCAACCTTTGTGACAGGGGCAGTTTCCAAAGGCACTGATTACCTACCTTGTGGAGGTGATTTCTTAAGTTACTTGGAGTAGCAAGCGTTATAGATTGCGCTACAAGTTAACACACACAGTACGCCCATTTCAGATCCTGATGTAACCACGATATCATAAATGGAAGATAATACTGAGGAATTACTTAAATCACTGCAGACCATACTGCACCTCCCGAATTACTGGAATCCACTCTATTCAATCTGAGTGCTTACTGTTTTAGACGCTAAGCCTCAGATCGGGTATAAATTGGAAGAAATTATCGGGGAAAATTAAGAAGTTTTTAATATGCCGATTCTAGTAGGCGAACTTCAATTAGAGCATGAAGTGGAAACACAAGATTGAAAACGAAACTTGGGAACAGATTTAATGATGGTAGAAGGAAAATAATTTGGTTCAACTCTACCCACACTCTGCCTGCTCTTCCGGTGGGGTGACAGAAATTGGGGGTTTCACGAGAGATCATAATGAATCATAAAAAACAACAAAATTCGAAAAACTCTCACCCTGATTGCAGTGGCGTCTCGACAACAAAGCGTGTTCATAGAACCAGACGTTGCGATATTACCTACAGTATGGACGGCTCGAATTGATCGCAATTGGTTAATAGTTCCAACGAAAAAGTTGACGAACTCTTGTGAGAGAACATTATGTGAAAGGAACATCTGAAGTTTTTTTTTTCAAAATGAGAGTAAAACGAAAATGTCAAAAGAAAAAGGAAGTTGGAAAATGAAAAAATCGCCCATTCATGAACATTCAAGCATCATCCAATACCTCTTTAAACTATTAGCGAAATCTCTGAAGCTTTCTATGCATGATAGAGCACTGCTCAAGTTTACCAACTTACTTATACAGATACCCACATGGAACATAAGAAAAAAGATCAGAGCTCAAGTTTCGACGACAACAAAGATGTGGGGTGTCAATATCCGAGTGTAAATTTTCATGATAGCAAGCCAAAGAAGTTGAAATGGAGTAGAAGAGGGAAATAGTAAGAAAAAGCATTGAACAAAGTCTTTCACCGTTTTCGAAAAGATCGAAATTTTCTGAAAAAATAGCCTAAATCGAAGGCTTTGAAAATACTGAATTGAGATAAGTATATGATCTCAAAGTTCACTAGAAAATATAGAAAAGAGCCTCTGTGGAATATGGTTAAATAGTTGCTTGAAAAGAACTGAGCGATCTCCGAGGAAAAAATCAGCTTCAACCTACTTGGGAGTAATCATCTGGTGCACTGGATCATAAACTTGAGATATTGTAGTATTCGCAGCTTCAGAGTGGCCACCGAGAGACCTAAGTAGATAGATAGGTTACAATATTCTACAAAAAAAAATTACCTAAAACCCGAAAAATGTGGTAACTGAGATTGAATTCCGTTACATGAACCTTTAAAGCGTCACTGTATAGAACAAGACGTTCGAACTGTTCGAAAAATACCAGGTTAGTTAACCACTAACATTGGCGAGAAAATCGACAACGCTGGACTATCAGCTGGAGGAGCATGAGGTGGATGAGGAAAAGAGCGAGTCCTGGCAAGTCGTGCTGTCATCGACCTTGTATGTACAGAGCGAATCAGGGAACCAGCAGCTGTTACCGTTGATGCTGCATGAATGCGAGGGGCCGGAATAGAAGTAGTGGAACCTAGACAATCATAGGTCAAAGCAATTCATACCAAAAAAGTGTCTAACACTGAAATGAATCAAAATTCTTGTGTAAAAGCTCAGAAATTCTGAATAATAATTGAAGCGTAGCATGCGCAAAACAGCGGAATCAATGGTAAGGCCAACTCTGCAAACGATGAGGTGTGAGTGGTGTCGATTCGGGATGAACGAGCGGGGTCCCTTGTATAGAAGTAACTTCAGTTCGACGTTTTTCCAGGAGTTCAATGGCTGACTGCACTTCATGTTCAGAGGTGATACGAATGCGCAACAAGCTGTGTACCTGAAAAGAAACCTCATACGTTAAAAGAAAAACAATAAAATGAAAAAGGGAACGGATGAGAGTTTCCATTCAATTTCTGCTTTCATTCCTTTTCTCCTAGTGCGACGAATATTTTACAGAACCTCAGATTTTTTGAATTTCAACATCTCGGGATGATGAGGAAGCAAAAAAAAAGGGTCAGTCATTCACAAACCTCGCTTATCCTATCGAATACCAACAAAAAGTCATCTTCAGCTCCTATAATGCGATACTCGGACTTTTCCCAACAAAACAACCACTGTGTCAGGGAATCTGGAAAGCAATCAAAGGAAGAATCAGAAGTTCGAGTGCTAAAATGAGGTATGGAATGAGGTGGAGGCTCACATACCTCGAGGTTTGAATATAACTGCTAGCAACTCATTCAAGGGATGAGAAAGGGAATAGAGGGCGACTTGATCCTCTGCTGAGGCACCGAACGAGGTCAGATCGCGTTCTACGAGTAGTCCGAACTTAGTGGCGTATACAGCGTGAATCTGAAAGATGCTAAATGTATTCCGAAGGCGACCTACTCCGACAAAATCAAAATGTACTAGAGAGAAGCAGAAAAAGGGGTCCTGAAGAAACCCCGATCGAGTATAAGAAAGCGCACATATACTAAGAATACTACTATAGGTGAAACGCACAGCATGCACAAGTTTGCCTTGAGTTACTATGGAATTCTAAGAGTGAGGCTTTATGGTAAGTGGGAAGGAAAACCAGTTTGATCCAGTTTGTCATTACGCCTAGTCATTGTACAAAAGAAAAAAGCGATCACCAAAATCACAGTGACTCACATCGAACTGCACACGGAATCCTAGTGGATGGGAATCATTAATGGCAATGAACATCAAATCACGTAAGCCAACGATGCAAAAAAATTCCTGAGTAACAGCAGTCTCTATTTCACTCTTTGAAGGCGGAAATACAATCCAGAGCAACTGAAAAGAGCAAAGTTATTTCCCATTCATGAGCATTATATTGCTGGTAGAGAGCTCAAAGGAAGAACTGTAGGTTTACAAGGTAAGGAGGTCAAGAGCCGAGGATAAAGGTAGAATTTATAAAAATGTAGATGTCAAAAGTAGTCGTTCTGAGAAGTTGGATAGAATATTGAGATAGTTAACACTTTTGACAGAGCTGAAGAGGAAGGAATGCACTAGTGGGGAATGTCCTTAACTCGAAAAATACAAAGTCACATAGATAAGAAAAGATCCTAGCACCTAAACGGACCCTCTGCAAGACTATTAACAATCTCTCAGCGTCCGAAACGCAAAATGCTTGCCCTCAAACGTCTATGTTACTGATTCGTCAAAAAATTATGTGCCTTTCTCGCACTCCTTTCCAGATTTCCAGGTTCAGCTCCCACAACTTGACTGATGATCGCAAAATTACTGATACTATCATTCAAAAAGGCATCTATACCGGAGTTTTAATTTATATCGGGAGGCGAGAACAGTGAAGGGAATGACATAGGTTAAGGTACTTAAACCGACTTTCTGCATTTGGGCTACCTAGTCAAGGAATCGGCTCATGCCAAACTTCACCAGGTATCATTCCCCTATCGCTAATGACGATGAAAGAACAGATTCATGGGCGACCGATTATCGAAGTGAGATGTTTGGTCAAGGTTCCATGAACCATTGCAAGAAAAAGCACTTACACCAAGCTACAAGCATTGTGACCAAAGAAAACTGTGAAAAACGTGAGGGACGTACCTGCCGAATATCAAAGGGCACATCTTGCCGTAAAATTGTTTTACCAGTACCTAGCAGGACAACTACTTCGCGATCAACTGCGATAGCATAGATAGAAGGCCCATCATCGCCTGTCCGCTGACAGAAGAGCAACTAGAAAAGAACATATTGCTTAGCTTATAGAATCAGATATAAGGAGCAAAGTAAACAGGTCGTCATCTAGTAAGGTAGATATGGGGCTACGGAACGGTGCATAGTAATTCGACCACGCAATAACGCTCGCCCACTGAGATTGATGCGTGGCTAGTCGAAACTTATTCCGCAGAGAGGTTTGATACAATAATGGTCGAACGGAAAGAACATTTCATTTGGATATTAAACCGAACGCTTCCGAGTCTATTTCAGAACGTTTAAACCAAAAGAAGGTTGAAAAATCAGCTCAAAACCTAAAAAAGACGGTCCTACCTTATCCGCGTTTCCCTTGAAATAAGGCAACGGTATACATCGCTTCGTTGTCGGGATCATGACGTCTTCTAACCGATTGTTTTCAGCGCTCGTCGATTCGATCATTCGACGAAGCGCCCAGGAAACGCTGACACGATGACTAATCAGCGCTCTATTAGAATCAGTAACTTCAAAGGTGTCAAAAGAACTCTGAGAGAATTACAAAGCATTTTCCATAGTTAAACTTCTACGCTTCACTTCCACCGCAAACTCGCGTCCCCTTCTCAACCCATACCCATCTGAACCCGAGCCTACACAATCGTTCGCCGTTCCTCAACCTAGGTATTGATGAAGATCAAGCCGAGAGGTGATAGCTTGTTTTAACCCGAGGATCCATCCCCATGACACATGGTGAACAACTCCAGTGATTACGAGAGGACCCATGAACCCACCTAGTCTACTCATTGCTGGGGACAGCAATCATGGTGAACAACTCCAGTGATTACGAGAGGACCCATGAACCCACCTAGTCTACTCATTGCTGGGGACAGCAATACTTGAGAACCGTGAGAGGAAATACCAACAGGACAAAACCTCTTTATTACCAAACAAATACACATGATACATGTTTATTATTCGAAATGTGATGACAGTGACAGTGAGATTAAGCACACAACCGATTCATAATACACGCATCGGAACCGAGATTACAATGAAGTAATAGTTAGGCAGAGTTCCACTTTGGATTATTAAAGTAGAAATGTGAGGTGATTATGTTAGCATGAGATCGCCACTACAACGGATCTTATTGTTTTCAAACTGTGGCGCTATCAGCAACGGAGGCTTCTTCTGCTTCTGGTTTTGGTCGTTTCGCGGCTTCAGCTTCTGACTCCACCTCAGCAGCTGCATCGGCAGTTCTCTTTACTGGCTTGCGAACCTACAGCAAAAAGAGAAGTGAATATACCAAAAGAAGCTTTTCATGTCATAAATTGCTGAGGAAAATATCTGGACCATCTACGCGACTGCAACATATTTGCCCAGCCTACCCAACCGAAGGTACGTACCATGTTTGTGATATCGTTAACAGGAGTATCATCAGAAACCGTCGTCAGCTTCGGTAACGTAGCCGAGAAAGCAGATTTCAGCTCTTCTTTAGCCTGTAAAGCCATGCATACGAAACCGAACAACAGAAAGAAACGCCGGCTCTTGAATACTTACTTTCTCTAAGGTAGCGGCACTCTCGTTAGCGTCCTGAATTTTCATATCAATATCGGGAATTAGCCCCTTTAAGTCTGCCAGTTCCTTTTCGAGTTCTGCCTTCTCCTTCTCTTTCTCTGGCTCGTTCATCTCAGCAATGGCCTTCTCAACAGTTTCTGCAAAGAAGATTTCTGACTTTTACATGGATTTCTTGAGTATACTCAATGGACCTACCAATGCGAAGGCTGAGACACTCTTTTGCCTTCTGATAATGCTCAGCTGCGAGAGCGAACTCCTTGTCCAATTTATATACCCGTGCAAATGTAACATAGGTTTGAGCAGTAATACGATCACCGGGGGGCAGGTGATGCAGTTGGATTTGAAGAGCACTCGTCAAATCATCCAAAGCCTGAATTTGAATCCGTGTATACTTGCTGCCAGCGATATAAACTAATTTCAATGAGTACACGCACGGCACCTGCTTGTAGTTTTCCTCCTCAATCGAGCATTCCGCAAGAGAAAACAGAACATCTGCTTTTCGGAGCTCCCATTCCTTTGTTGGCTCTTGCTTGTCACAGATGTTTCTCGCAACCTGGGAACAAAGATCTCACTTCCATCGCGCACAAACTGCTAATTTTAGCTAGCGACAACGATTCGGCATTCATATATCTGAGGCACGAACTGGCGGGATTATTACTTCCTAACCAAAGTAGAATGAACGTGAGTCAAAGCTTGGTATTCACTGTATGAAACGGGGTGTATTCGACTAACAGGTCCTCACTCCTCTACACTAACGAAATGCTGTTAAGATTCTTTTGAAAAATAATTCTACAACGAAAACAATTATGAAAACAGTCCTACGAATCAACCAGCAAGAAGTAGGTCTAGCATGCCGTGACAAGAAGACCGAAAGAAACAGATTGGCAAAAGTATTCTGGGAACTCACCTCAAGGACCTCCCAAGCAGCTTGGAAATTACTGGGTTCCTCCTCAGTATCGTCCTTTGCTTCCGTGTCAGGCTCTTAAAATAGAAAACAGTCATTTCGCAAAGACACGGTACCAGAAACAGGGTACTGTGAATGAAGCACTAATAATCACACCACCTGTTACGATGGGCGTTGCTTCTGCGTCCTCTGTTTCGTTCTGCTCCATAGCTTCGGTATTCTCCTCAGCTGAAGCAGGTTCTGTGGCGGACTCGATAGCATCAGTAGCATCAGCGGCTTCTGTAGCTTCAGCGGCATCCGTAGCTGGCTCTTCGGAGACGGGCTCAGTGGCTTCCGAGACAGCAGGCTCTTCAGAAGAAGATACAGCATCATTGGAAACTGTTGTAGCCTCGGCACTGGACTCAGTCGTCTCAGCAATATCTTGCCCCTCGGCAGCATCAGCACCGTCTTCAGCTTCTGGAATGCATAGAAATAAACTAATTGATACGCAATCAAATAGAGAAGGCGGTCAACTACCAGCAGCAGTTTCTTCCTCAAGCGCCTCCTTTTCTGACCCCTCCGCTAGGTTTTCGTCTACTTTACCCTCTCCATCACCACTGATAGCAGATTGGGCCTTTTCCAACGCTTCAGCATTTTCTGCAAGAGCTTCGTCCACTTGTTCCCTTATCTCTTCTCGCTCGCTTTCTGAATGGAAACCGATGCAACAAGACATAGAAGGTACGTAGCAGAAGCGCCGGCTTCCACTTAGGAGAATGCCTTACGTACTAGTAAAAAGTACAGTGAAATTAGTATTCAGATAAATTTAGGCACATTCAAAGGCGAGGACTGTTTTTAGCAGACCCACTATCCAGTATGTTTGAAATATGGCTGCTCTTGTCTAAAATTCAGTGAACATAAAGTAATGGGAGCTGTCTCATCAGAGACTAGGTCTTCATTCCAATTTCTTCTTTGATCGAAATCTAAGCAGTCTCTCTCTCAAAAAAAAAAGCGACCGAATTCAAATTTCGTTATAAAAACATTGTTACCCTAAAGCCTAAAAAGAAACTAACCAGTTAGTTTATCTGGGTCACCGATAGTTTCATCCTTGTCCTGTTCCTTCTCCTCGACACCATCTTCTGCCTCCTCAGCTTCCTCTTCTTCATCTGCTTCAGGCATATCGGTCATTGCATTTTTTAACACATCCGCTTCGATGCGACCCAATTCAATGAGGCACTGCCCGTAATAATAATGAGGATCGAACGATTCGCTGGCAAACACACCGTATACTTCAGCCCTGAAAGAAAATCATAACAATGGAGAGTTATTAGTAATCCAGAGAGTACGAACATAACAGTCAGTAGAAACTGAATTCTTACGAGTAGTTGGCACAAGTGCTGAGTTTCTCAGCCGCTGCTTCAAAATCTCCCGCTTTGAGATCGCGCTTCCCTTGAGCGAGAAGATCCTTCACAGCTTCTTTTTTCCTGAAAGGTTCATTTAAGACACGAAGAAAGCTCATAACATCGAGAAGTCAACCATATTAGAAATCCCTGCTTCAAAAGAAGATGTAACTAGAAATTACAAGTGCAACTTACTGTTCAGTGCTCAGTTCAGGCAAATCCACCTCTTCGTTAGCAACAGCTACGCTTTCGGTCTCTTCAGATGAGTTAGCAGGAAAAGCCTCTTGGTTCAGGGCGACCATGTTGATGTTAGTAAATTTAGTACCTGAACAAGTTTAAGTTGGAATAAACGTACTACGTTCTAAGATAGCTCCGTTTTGATAGTAAAACCAAAACTTAACAACACAACCACCTAACCGCGAAGAATGAGAAGCCAAACTATCGAAACAAATGGTTAGCATGCAGTCATATACGTAAATATAAACAATCAAGGAAAAACCAACCGCGTAGTACAAAGGAACCAAGAAAATGAGTAAAGTGCAACGATGGGAGGGAAGAATTTCGAATAAATACGCGCCACAAATCTCCCGCACTAAGTGCATATCGCTGCAGGACCAGTAGTCGTTCACAGTAATGCGTCCTTCGGTTGAGTTTCTTTTAAGAAAAAAGTTTTTAAAATCGTTTCTTTTATCTTTCTGAGAAGTTGTAGATAAATTTGTTTGCAGAACATCATCGTATCATTACAGATAAACAAATATGGTTGGAAAGGGAACTGGAACAGGTGAATGAACAACAAAACTGGTAAAATAAGTAAAACTCGACTTTGACATTAACCCACAAGAAGGTATGGTTTTTTCTGCTATTTCATTTGGAAATGCTAGTAAATTTTCAACCTACCAATAGACTGATTAAAATGATTTTTTGGAAATGTTCAACTTGCCAGGGCTTGCTTT